TATTTATTGTATTTTATTTATTTATTTATTTATTTATTTATTTATTTATTTTTAATTTTGGTGTCGGAGGCTGAATTTTCTTAAAGCCGTTTTAGGATGTAAGTTTGGCTCTCTGGACACTCGAATTGTAGGGCTGGTGTTGTCTCTTCCTAACACAAACCACCATTTTCATCATATAGATTTAATTATAGGAGAAAGTATAACAACAAAAGGTGTAGAAAACAGAAGTCTTCAGCCTTGACATTCTTGTCTTAAGCAAGTGAGCATCTCTAAAGCCCAGCATTGTAGCAGAAATGTAAATATTGGGGAAGTCACCCCAATAATTTGCTCCAAGAGAATCTTGTAGTTTAGACCCTGGACCACTTCTTTGAGTTTGAAATTAGAGAGATTTATTTTTTTATTTCTTTTTATTTTGGTGTTGGGGTGAGGGAAGTTGGGAGCTGAATTTTTAAAGCCATTTTAGGCAAGTGGGAGGATGTAAGTTTGGCTTTCTGGAGAATATTCACATAGAATATTATAGGTTTGACCCTGGACTACCAGAATTTGGGGTTTTTGGTTTTTTTTTCTTATGGGTTTGGGCTCTGGAAGTGTTACAGTCAAAGGGGACAAAACCCATCACTCTGAGAAAAATCTGTGACCCCAAAGGGATAAGAATGTAGATGTTGGTAAAATGCTTGGAGAACTTCAGCTGTAAGTTTGGAAAGAAAGGGTTTATATATTAAAAATGTGAAGTTCAGAACTGCAGTCATTGGGAAAAGGAAAATAAAACAAGATGCACTTACTGCAGAACCCAGATAGGTTCAATCTCACGTAACTCATCCTAAAAAACTCTGCCAAGGAATGGCAACATCCCTGGAAGTGTGGATGAGGTGCAGGGCAATCAGAATTATTTTAACAGCCACCTGCAAAAGTGACACGAGTAAAGGATATTTCATTTCATCTTATGGCAAAGAGGGGAAGCCACTGCTCTTTCAGCTGTCAAAAAAACCAAAGGGAACACGACAGAAATATTTTTAAAATTGAGTTCCTTTTGCTGCTTTATTACAGGGACACATAAACCAGCAAGGCATTTATTCCCAGTGTTATTTTCGATGCCTCCTTCTATTGGACACGTCAGAGAACATGCCAAATTTCTGTTATTCTGAGAGGGTTCTCTGCTTTTTTTGGGGTGGGTTTGTTATTATTTTCTCCTTTAGAAAACATCTCTCATCCTGGCTTTCAGTACAAAAACACCCCCATTCTTTAGAAACAACTCTTAGAGCAGGGGAAATACATAAAAGAGGCACTTAAAATAAAGTTGGGAGAAGGAGGGAGTGGGATATTCTGAGCTGGTATGAATTTCCAGAGCTGCACTGAAGTCGATGGAGCCCTGACAATTTACAGCAGCTCCAGGGGCTGCCCCAGGGATTTTTAAATATTTAGTGTCTCCTTTTATTTTAAAAGGATTGGCATCGATGAATAAGTGCAGGGTTGAGGCAATGCAGGAATGTTGAAACACGTGGAGCTGTTATTCAAACAGAGCTGCCACTTCCAGCTCGTCTCACTGGGCAATTCCAGGGAACAGGAGATTCCTGGAACACCCTGGAAGTGCAGGAGGAAGTGCAGGCACTTGGAATTTTTCACATCTGAGAGAGTTTTTTGTCTAACTGCTCGTTTTAGAGGTTTATAATTGAATATTAGGCATATCAAGGAAAAAAAAAGCCACTTCCATATTTTATACTGCCTTCAGTGAGTTCAAGTATTTTATTGAAATTATAGTTTGTTTTTTTTTTTTTTAATTTTATTTTTGATCCCTCTGCTCCCTGGCTGGAAAACTGTGGGATTCAGAGTGACTGGAGAATTCCATGGGTGTATTCAGCACCTCTCACACCCCTGCACAAAAACCTAAAGAATTTCCCCATTTCATGTGTAAATTTGAATAATCTCTGCAGGATGAAACATCATTGGGAAAGACATTTGAGTGACTTAAGGCACAACCTGATCTGGTGATTTTTGAGGGATATTGGGCTTCTAAGAGAGTCTTCTTAAAGTTTTGGGGGCCTCAGTCCTTCCCCTCCCCTGTTGGCTTTGGTTGGAACAATCTCCTTGAGCATGAAAACAGCTTCAATCTTCAAACAGATTTTTGTGCTGCTACAAATTATTAAAATTGTGATTTTTTTTTTTTTTCAGAGTAAAGGCTGTTTTTAAAGTCTATTAAACTTTTGGTACTCAGCTGCTCTATGTGCAAGGAGCATCACCCATGTCAATGGGTATATAAATTAAAATAAAGATAAATTGTCTCTTGATTTTAATATTATTTTTGAATTAATTAATATTATTATTATTATAAAAAGTGTATAAATATATGCTTAATCTTAAGGTCTTATTGCAAAGGGATTGCAAATGCCAATCTGGAAAACATCCCTTCAGATCCTTACTGGGATCTAAGTGTGTTCAGCTTCTGGTTTTTCATTTAGCCTTGAAGTTTAAACTTAAGTTGAGCATAAAACTTACACACTACTTGATATTTAATAATCAAAAAATCAGTTATTGCAACAGAACAAACCATTAGGCTGCTTATAGTCAGTTCTAACCCCTTTTGATGGACTTTTAACCCTCCACAACAGGTGCTGCTCGTGCCTGTAACGACATCATGGCATCTGTTAATCACTTATTGTATTTCTAAATATCCCTTTAGTCCAAAGTGTGACCACATTGCTGCTCCTTTCTGGCTGGGAAATCCAAAAAAGGATCGCAGGGATCCAAGTGCCCAAATCCAGCTGGGACCAGCCAGGACTCGGGCACCCAATTCCCTGAATTCTTCTCCCTCCTGGAACGCCCAGCCAGAACTTCCACCCCTCTGGAGCCCCGAGGGTTTGCTGGAATATTTTCTCTGGTTTCTCTGCTGTGAGCTGTCCCAGCAGTTCCTTCATTTGGGTTTTCTTTCCCTCTCCAGCCGGTGCTGCGAGAAGAAGAGTTGCGGCAACAGGAACGAGACTCCGTCCGACCCCGTCATCATCGACAGGTAGGAGATGAACCTTCCTGTTCAAAACCATCCCAGAATTGTTGTTCCCACTCTGAGGCATCTTTCTTGCTGGTTGTCTGTCGGTCTCTGCCCCTTGACAAAGTTGATGTTTGGTTTTTCAGTCGATGTTGACGTTTATTTTTCCGCGGGTGTCGTTTTTGTGGGGGCCAAATATTCCCTGTGTGCACCTGGGATGCACTTTCTGCTCCCAGGGGATGTGATCCAGCTGGATTATTGAAGGGAGACAAAGCTCTGAGCAGCCTGGCAGCTTCAGTGATGTTCCTTAACAAAAAGAAAACACTGGTTTTGTAGAAATGTGGGGAGGAAGGAAGGGGTAAAGGCAAAGGTGGGACCCATCAGGGGGGATTAAAACACAGTCTGAACAATTTTAGGCAGAACAGCTGCTTCAAATATTACTCAGGTCCAGGTTCTTTTGCCAATTTACAGGTAATAACATCAATAGGGGAGAGCAGCAGTTTGCTAAATCATGAGCTGGTACGTTAAAGGTTGTTTTTGGTATAAGAAAACTTGCCTGTGGAACTCACTGGGTCAGCAGTGCTTGAGATCTGGAGCTCAGCAAGGTTCAAACAGGAGAAATCAGAACAGGCAGAGCTGTTTCAGAAAGGAGCACAAACAAGCAAGGGCTCCAGAAGGAGAACAGTAAATAAGGAAGAGCCAGGAAGAAATGTTTCCCCCCAGATTATTCTGCAGTGCCTGTTTAAAGAGTTCCTTCTCCCTGAAGCAGCTGGTAAGAGGGGCCAGTGGAGAGTTGCTGCTGGAGTGGATTGATTGTGGATTCAGTTTTTATGTCTGTCTGTGTCTGGTGTGTTCCATCTCCAGCCTAATAAGCATTATTTTGTTGTGGTATTGCTTGTGAATTTTCTTTGGCATTCAGAGACGGCCGAGCTGGTTTGAATTAAAGAACTACAATTGTTTCCTTAATTTTTTCATCCTGGTAAATCTAAATAATTTTGGAACTCTGCTGTGATGGGGTTCTTCCACTCCCTTTACCCTCATGGTTTTCCCTTTTAATTCTGTGCTTACAAGTTGTGCTTGGGGCCAGAGCTGGTTGGGGTGGGTGTGGGAGGCAGTTTCCTGACTGGAAGCACAAGTCTTGGATGTGCCATCTTGACCTTTCCTAAGAAATTTCGAGCTTATTTTTGGCTGTGTTGATGTTTGCTGTGAAATCTGCATTTGGGAGCTTTCCAACCTGAAGTCTGAATTTTGTAAAGCCCATGTTGCTGCTGGAGGAGCAGAATGATGTCAGGCACTGTCTTTCCCTGGGATTTAAGCCCAGGAAAGGGGTAGTTCCTGCCCTTACCTGAATTTCTGTCATCCTGAGCAAGCTGTCCAACCTCGTGCAAAATGAAGGTTCTGATGCTTTTCTGTGAGGATTTGAGACCTGCTGATGTGAAAGGCAATGGGAGGGGAAACTCTTAGAAACCACAGGGTTATTCTTTTGAACAACTGTGTGTAAAATGTGCATCACAAGGGACCTGAGTGCTCAGTGAGCCCTAAACCTTCCCTAAGTTCTGCTCTAAGCCCAGAACTTCCTGCTAACAGCAGCAGGCATTCCCTGGGCATGGAAGCATCCTGGAGGTTCAGGCTGGCACTTTTATTTCTGTGTGTTGGTCCTTCCCTTTCACCCCTCTGTGTGTGTCTCAGTTGCACGTGAAATCTGGAGCTCAGCAAGGATGGGTGAGGGCAGGAAGGGAGCCAGCCTGATAAAACTGCTGCTTTTGGGTTTAAAGGCATTTAAAGTCATTCAGAAATGACTCCAGATCTGCTCTGCTCTCTGGAGGGGACACGTCTCAGTGAACAGAGTGGGGAATAAAAGCTAAACTCAAAGCTGAATATTTCTCTTTTTTTTTTTTTACAACTAACCTGCAATTCAGTGTCAAGCAGTGACTCCTTCTCCTGTACAGATATTTCTGCACAGCTCTTTCTGTTCCCCCTCTTCATCCAGTCCAACAAGGCTTGAGCAGCCAGGGCTCATCCTGGGCACTGCACCTGAATCAACACTTGCCATGCAGGTACAACCCCAGAGTTCTGGCACAGAGGAACCCTTGGCTGGTCTGGCACCCTCCCAGATTCCCCCAGCAATAAGTACAACTGCTTGGGAGTTCAGCTGCCCAGCCCACTCACCCCAAATACACACAATGGGCAAATTTTTTTGTCTTACAACCAAGCAGAAAACGTTTCTGCAGAGTCCTGTGTGCTCAGAACTCGGGGATCTGGGCAGCACTGCTTTTATTTATTTAGGAGGGGGCTTCATATGGCTTCTTTACAGGAAAACTTTCATGCTTAAGGACTTGGTAGCCGGTGGAATTGAATTTCTGAACTGCAATTTGTACCCCTGGTGATCATGTGGGTCACTAAATAAGATTTTCAGTCCGTTATTTCTTTCATGGTGTGGTTTTTTTACTTACTTTAAAGCAAATTACAGGTCTTCTTTAAGTAATAATTGGAATGAAGGTGTTTTTTCCTCTGTTTGAAGTGATAGGTAAATGTAAAAACACAGCTGCCACGTTGTGACAGGTCCCCAGAGCAGTGAGACAAGTGAAGTGGGGAGAGAAGGGATGGCAAAAATGCATTTGTGTGGTGCAGAGCTGTGTCTAAGCAGGGTGTGCACAGTGAGACAGGCCCAGGGCTTTCATGGAATAGGATCACAGGATCACTGAGGCTGGAAAGATCTCCCAGGTCATCGAGTTCAGCCACTAACTGAACATCCTCCACCAGCAGTACAGTGATTTCTCCTTTATTTGTTTCTCTCCCCACTTTTTGGGCTTCCAGAAGTCAATTCTCAGACTGTTGTGCTGCTTTACCTGCTCACTGCTGGAGGCAGACACAGTTCCTTGGTGTTCCCCAGTTCCAGGGGACTTGTTATCCCTGTTTGGAGAGGAAGAAACAGTTCAGTGGGAAAGAAATGTCGGCCATGTGGTTGTTGTTGGGGTTCTTTTTTTCTTCTCCTTGAAAGAATTCCAAAAGTTCTTATGCTGAATAAAACATTTCTGCAGTGACCTTTGCTCTGGGGACTGGATTTAGATCCCAAGGACCTCGCAGTTATTTTTCCACTGGCTCTTGGAAACGAGGATGTTTCCATAGGAAAAGGAGCTTCTTCCCCAGAATTCAGTGTGTGCCTTGTCCCACAGACAAAGCTCTGCGGGGCACATTGGAATATTTAGGTTCTTGTGGTGTTCTGAGTCAGAATTTCAGGGTAACTCTGACCAGACTCTGGTTTCCCAGCGATGACACAGCTCAGCTCCTGCTGTTGCAGACATTAAACCCCACATGATCCCCCCTGCAGCAGAGCACTGAAAACACCCCCCAAAAACACCCTTGGAATCACATTTTTAACCCACAATCATTCTCACTCTGGGTTTTTCAGACAACACGAGCCACCACCAGTTCTCAAAACCTCCCAACAAGCTTTAACTTGGTGTCCAGGAGCCAAATTAACCCGTGTTAATTGGGTGTGGTTCGGTGTCTGTGGGATTGGGAGCTTTAAGAGACTTCAGAAATGTAAATGTTGTTTTTTTTCCCCCCTCCCCTCATGGCTCAAGTGGTGGTTCTCGAAGTTCCTTGTGGTTCCCAGAAATCAGAGCGTGATTTTTCTGATGTTTCTTTTATTGGAAGCACAGAAAGGGATTTGAAGTGGAGGGGTTGGAGGGCTTTTGGATAGAAGGGTGGAAGCTCCTTCTTTTAAAGGTGATGCTTCCAAATGAAAACTGTGTTTTCTCAAGCCTGGATCACAATTATTTAGTTTGTTGCCTTTCCCACCTCAGTTCTGCACATAACAAGGAACTTGGTGTTAGGGTTAAGAGGTCCTGGATGCTACAAATTAACTTAATTCCTCACTTTACTGCAGATTTTCTCTCTAATTTTAGGTGATCTGTGTGGCTTAGGGTAGAAATTCCCCATTCATCAAACGGGAGCGATCTTTTGATTTTTATTTTCTTTGTGTTTCTTGAAGATTTAAGCTCTTTACAGAAGGTCATTTCGTGTGCTTGTTACTCTTGGTGCTTTAATGAGTTTACTGAGACTGTGATCTAATTGAAGCCTCCAAGGTACTGGGGAGAATTGGGTGACTTTTTTGGTTGAACAGTTTATTTGCTCTTCTTTTTTTTTTTATTATTTTTTCCCCTTCCTAACAGAGAGAAACAGTCAAAAGACATTTCTATGTGAGTCAAACGAAACCTCTTAAGAATCAAAAGAAAGTTTTATGCAATTCAAACGAAATGTCTTAACTGCAGTAAAAATGCAGCATCACTGGGGTGGGACAGATTTTTTTTGTTGCTGCAGGGGAAATTACTGGGAACAGCCCAACAAACTGAGCACAAGCCCTCTGTAGGCTCTGCCTTCTTGGTCTTCTGCTGTCTTTGGGCTCATGGAACAAAATCATTCAGCTCAGATGCTTTCCCAGCCTGAGACCTCGAGTCCAATCCCTCCTGCTTTTATCCTAAACTCTTCCTGGTTGTCCCAGAAGGAGTTTAATGTGTGTTGTTACAACATTTTGCTTATTTGTTTATTGTGATTTATTTATTTAACGTGTCTTGTTACCACATTTTACTTGTTTATTTATCGTGGGGCAGGTGGATGGGGTTGGAGGGGATTGTTGGGATGTGGGGAATGTCAGTGTGGGTTGGGATGGGCTCTAACCAGTGAGGGTTAGATGGCACTGCCTGGCACCAGCTGAGCACTGGGCACACTGGTTTCAGGGGGTGGGGAACTGCAGCATCCATCAGCTGACACGTGCTCTCAGCATTTAGGGGTTTATGGTTATTATTTACCAAAAAAACCACCCATTCCAAGCCATGAGCACAGCTGGCAGCTTGTCAGCATCTCTGGGAAGAAGCAGAGGAGCCTGGATGACATTCCTGGGCCGTGGGGGTCCAACCCTTCCTGCACAATCAGGGCACCAGGGATGGAGGTTCCCTTCCCTGCTGCTCCCTGCCCTACCTGCTGGATGGATAAGCAGAGGAGGGGGCTCTCCCTGGCCC